TAGAACGTGACACGAATTATTGCAAAATAAGTACCTAAAAAACAAAACACTTTCTCAAGTTCATAAGAAAAAGCTGAGGATTCTCATTTTTGGATGGGCTTAACGGCAACGAAGGATCAATCCTTAAGCTTGTGTAGCTTAAGGGTGGGCTCCCTAAGCTACAAATTCCCGAATTTGTTCAACATAGTTCACAAAAAACATGCAACAATAGCTGAAGTATTCAACACTGTTCCCCTTAATAATCTGATTGCAAGTATGACGAATGTAAACTTATAAGCAGAGAAGGATACTATCATATGGACTTTAAGTAAAAGTGTTAGTTTTATAGTTAGGTTGATGTATAGATACCTAATTACTAATGACATCATGGTAATCCAGGAAATTTGGCAAGTAAAAGTACCTCTTAAAATTAGGATATTTCTTTAGTTCCTCAAAAAGGACGTAATATTAACTAAAGACAACATAACTAAAAGAAATTGACAAGGAAGCAAATATTGCTGTTTTTGCAGTAATTTTGAAACTATTCAACATATCTTTTTTGAGTGAAATATGCTAAATTTCTCTGGCGTGCGTTGCATATGGTGTTTGAACTTCCCCCACCGCGAACTGTGGCAAACCTTTTTAGGAATTGGTATAAGCAGTGTGGAAAAGATTTAAGTTTGTTATTTCTAGTAGGGGTGGCCACCTTCTATTGGTCCTTATGGCTCACTAGGAATGATAGTGTTTTTCACAAGTACGGTCTAAAATATTTTTACAAGTCTTATTCAGGACACATTGCTTCTGATTTTGAGGTCAATTGCAACGAGGTGAAGATAAGAAAGAATGCATCTACCTGTAGATATCGGCTCTAGGCTTTTTTTTCTCTTATGGATGGCCCACTATGTCTAAGATGGCCCACTGTGTCTAAGACTACGAACTGATTTTCTATCATTTTTGTGGGTCTGATTTAAACATGAGTGTGGGAACTTCTTTTGTAATAACGTGGTCTAATTCCTCGCTTGTGAGCAAGGATGAAGCTGAACATTTATTCCATTATTAAAAAAACTCATAGTAATAAGATTGTAAGATACTAGGTGAATACCCTGCGCGTTGCCGTAGAAATTGCTGATGATTTAGAATAAAATTACTTATACAAAGGGATCAACAATTATAAGTTAATGTTAGTGGATGACATGACACTTACGACGTGGACAACTAAATGCATGTTTATGGATGATGTGTCTTATTGACATATAGATCATAATTGCAAATGCTAGTTGGTCATAAATGCATCCGATAGTGGACTGATTAGGTGGACAGCTTGCATGTTTAGAGAAATAGCTAGTGGAGTTTAGCTTTATAGAGTTTATAGATTTCTTCAGTTTTGATATACATTGGGGAAAATATATTTATCATAAGTTAAAACATACTCTGAGTTTACACTAGTAGAGAACAGACCTTTCATCCGATGTTAAAATAGGCTCTAGTCCCGACATTTTTTGCGTCCGGGACTAAAGAGACCTTTAGTCCCGGTTGGTGTCTCCAACCGGGACTATAGGTCCCTGTCTAACGGCCATCACGCGCTCAAGACACGCGATGGCGAGAGGACCTTTAGTCCCGGTTGGAGACACCAACCGGGACTAAAGGTGGACCTTTACTCCCGGTTGGAGCTACCAACCAGAACTAAAAGTCCTCAACCTTTAGTCCCGGTTGGTAACACCAACCGGGACTAAAAGTAGACCCTTTAGTCCCGGTTGGTAACACCAATCCGGACTAAAGGACTCTTTAGTCCCGGTTGCTAACACCAACCGGGACTAAAGGTCCTCCGATGGGTTAGTTCAAAAGGGAAGCATCCCATCCATTGTTAGATGTGTTGTGTAGGTGGGGTGGTAAGCTACGCGCGAGGCAATGCATGGGGTATTGGGTTCGAATCTCACGGGACGCAGCGGTGGGAGACATTATTTTTTTAAAGCTGGGAGGACCTTTAGTCCCGATGGGTAATTTAGTCCCGGTTGGTGTTACCCCTTTAGTCCCGGTTCCTGACCCGGGACTAAAGGACCCCCCTTTAGTCCTGGATGCTTACTCCCGGGTGGGGAACCGGGACTAGAGAGGGTTCCCCACCGGGAGTAAAGCTCTGTTCTCTATCAGTGTTACTAAGGTTTGTAGAAAAGTATTGCTTAGGATAACGAATGAGCTACATTAGATAATTATAATATAATTTACCTATTTAATAGGGGTGGATGTTAATACTTTGCTCTATAAATAAATTTAGGTAAATTTATAACTTTTTATTCAGAACAATAGAAAATCTATCATATTTCAGGGCAGATAGGGTATCAGTTTGGCTTGGCTGAGGATTTGCGGCAGGTTGACCAAGATGGCAAAATCCTCACTTCCTTACTCGATATCCAACGAATTGACAAATTATCCACGATTTGCTTTTGGAATGGAAAATGATATAAATGGGAGGTTTTTTTTTTGTTGGTGTTGTACTAATTAGATTCTTATACGTACAAAAGGCATGGGCCACAAGTTAGGCCGAAATGTTTCTCTCCAACCTTCGAATGGCTGACGTTCGCGTAGGCTGGACGCAAGGTAAATTAGGACCTTGAAAAAGATCGGACAGTAGATTTTCTTTACGCTGTCGTGGACACTGGACAGCCTCTCCACGCGCGGAGCTCAGCTGATTTGCAGAGAGTAACATGTCAGCGCTGTGTACATATTCCAGTTTTTATAACTGCGTCATGAGAATGTCAGGGGAAAAATACAAAAGCTGGAATCACCAACTGGAATGAATGTCCCCCCTATCCAAGCCTCTCTGATCACCAAGGGGATCAGCAAGCCTGGATCCAACCAAACAAACAACGCAAGCCAACCGAGGCTGCTAAACATGTTCACTTAATGATAACACAATTGCCATCTTCTGCACCCAGCTTCATTATATATAGATATAAGATTTCACTTATGTTTTTGTCTAGGTTTTTTTTCCTGCCGGTGCCCAATTATTTATGTCAATCTGGTCAAGAGCAGCACAAGCTAGACTGACGATAGATATTTGTCATGAGAAATAATCCAGCAACGACTGAATAATTCCTTTGCAACTTTTCTGATAAATGAGAATCTCCAGAACATGCAGTTCTTTGCTGTAGTTGTTTATACCCACCAGCCTACCACAAATAATTGGGCACCGGCAGCAAACCTAGACCACCAAGTCAGCATTTTTGCAATGTCGTCATCAGCCTGTTCGGAAGGTCGTATCGTATCGTGGATTATTTACTGCTGGCTGGTTTGGTGTGAGAGAAAAACACTGTTCCCGGCTGAAAATTTACGATCGTTTACGAGCAAACGAACAGGCTTCATGAAAGCCAAAACAGTGACCTTCAGTTCACACAAGGCCATGGGATGGATGAGCTGAGTTATTGATGAGCCAGTACGGCATGGATGCATATATGCCTTTCATCCCCTACCACCGAAACCTAACATGCATGCATCCTGGTGTTGCCTTGATGTGCTTATCTGAAAACAATGCCTGCCTACCATAACAAAGCAAGGTTGCTCTCAGTTGCCTAATCATTCACGTACATACAGTGGACCTTCAGAACTGTTACTACCAAGTCTTTCTTAGATGATTTGCAGTCAAGCAGTGTCACTTCAAATCTTTGATGAATAAACTCAAGAATTATTGGGCTGTGTGATGTACGAGTAGCCTATTCTTTGGGTTTCCTCTGCAGAATTATCATGGTTCACATGTTTAATTCACAACATGTCTGTTCAAAAATATTTCACAACATGTGAAGGAGAAATAAAATAATAAAAGATATGGGAGAAATTGCAGGAAAGTGACTACTACATCTTTCATTATTTGCCAATGATGCATGCACCTTGTGCCTTCAAGGATTTTACAAGCACAGCATCTGCAGATCTCCACACATAAAGGATCACCGACCTGTCACCACACAGTATCCATGGATGGAGACCCATTATATTACAATAGTATATCCCTTGTGTATTATATTGAGCCTCCAACTGAACAAATTGTTGTTGTGTGAGAAAAGCATCAGTTGATACCTCCCCACAATAGCTGCCAATTTGCAAGTTTGCATGGTTGGTATCTTTTATCTTGGCATAGATGTCTCAATCATATCTAGGTTCCCTTCCACTAGGCTGTACAGGGAAGAAGAGTTCAGCTCCCAGTTTGGTCCTGGGATGCAGCTTTGGACAGGACCTTTGTTTCTCTAGCTTTTCCTGCCTAATCTAGTGCATAAAGGCATCCAACCTGCCACGCCATCTTTCATATGTCAGCTCAGGATACTTTTCTGCATAATAATACTGTATGCTTTTTCTGCATCTAGCTAAGCATGCATGTCCCTCTCCAAGTCTCCATGCTGCTTTTTGGGATCACTGAATAGGATCATGGATACATCATCTCGAATATGCAACTATCTTGATTACTTAGTCATATATATATTCTTTATGAACTCCACAAAACTGGTTTAGAGTGAAAAACAAAGGGCTAGATTCAGATTAGTGAAGCACCTGCCTGTTAAAATAAACTTCAAACCATGCCCATCCTAACCACTGTACTCATCCAAAGCTACAAAAGTTCTTACAAGCAGCCGATTTCAGATTTGCCTAGCAAATTTGCCTTTGAAACAGGAGAACCAAACAGAACCAATTTAGGAACTGTAGATTTACGTGGTCCAAAGGGCACATCAAACATCAACACCTTTGCTCATCAGTACAGAACTTGCTCTTGCAAGGTGTCGGTGAGCAATACAGCTCTGTGCCTCTGTCACAGTAACTTTGGTTTGCTAACTGCTGGTGAAGATCTCCCTGATCATGGTGGCGGCACCGACACGCGCAATTTTGCTTGTCAGCAAGCAGATCGGTGCTCTGATCCCATGCCGACACGCGAAAGGTTGCTGTTTCTATCGATCATGGTGGCTGGATCTTTGCTGTGATCAAGGCTGGTCTAAACGTTCAGTATCAGTAGTGCCATCCTGCTCAACGCCATGGATGTCCTAGAGCTTACTGTCTCTGTCTCTGTCTCCGTCTCCTGCACAGTGCTCAGCCTGGCCGCCTCCATCGTCGGAGCTGCAGCCAGAGCCCTGGAACCGGACCTGCTCTTCGTCGGCCTGGAACGTGATCTCCTCGAACCGGCCGTGCATCTCCGCGCACCGGCAGCCACGCCGCGCCGCCGCCGCCGCCGCCGCCGACATGTAGTCATCCAGTGACCCACCCGAGGACGCGCTGGACCGGCAGTTCTTGCAACGGTCAGCAGCGCCTGACGTGTCCGGAGTACCGTCGCCACCGCCGTCATAATCGTCGTCGTCGTGCATGCCAGGGCCCGGCCTCCAGTGCGGCAGCAGCGCGGCGACCGCGCCGTCGATCATCTCGGCGATGTGGGTCACCTCGTGGTCGGTGATGTCCAGCTCCGCCACCATCTCGGTGGCCACGCTCAGCGCCGTGTCCGTGTCCGCGTCGAACGGGAAGTAGATGTTCCGGACCCTCCCTGTACGTGGTACCACAAGAAATTGAAATTCCATACAACACAATTGTATAATAATGAACAAACAAGAAAATTAAAGTCTCGTGTTGAAAACAAGATCCTAAAAATTTCAACTTTCAATGGTCAGAGATGGAGTGTCATCACCTGTGCCATCTTTGTCGGCGATGCGCAGCCGGAGGAAGATGCTTCCGTCCTCCATCCGCTTGCTCTTGATGGTGATGTCGACGCCAGCGACGTGCAGCTCGTCGTCCTCGTGCTCGTTGAACAGCTGGTCGATGCCTTGGAACATGATGCCATCGTCGTCGTCGTCCTCAGAGTCGTCCTCCCATCTGCCGCCGCCGCTGCCATTGGACACCACACCGTTGCTCGCCGTGGAGCCGTTGCTGCCGGCGTTGTGGTGGTGGTCCAGGCACGCCGGCTGGTGCAGGTAGTTGTACATGGTGCTGTAGTCCGCATCGTCGTCTCCGTACCAGAGGCCGTCGTCCTCCAGCTGCAGGAACGGGTCGTCGAGCAGCTCCGCCGCGCTCGGCCGCCGCGACGCCGGCGCCAGGCACTTGTCGATGAACCGCCTCACCTCGGGGTCCTTCACCTTGTACAAAGCCGCCGGCTTGATCCCCTGACCGATCAGAGACGCCGGCCGGCCACCATGATCAATCCATCGATGAAAAAAGGGAAAAGCAATTGGAAATGGTGAAGCAAATTTCTTACGGAGGTGACTTTCTTGTAGATGTGCACGGGGTGGACGCACTCGCTGTAGGGGTACTCGAGCGTGACCATCTCGAGGACGCACATGCCGAAGGAGTAGACGTCGGCGCGCTCGTCGTAGTCCTCCGCGTACACCTCGGGCGCCATGAACTCCGGCGTGCCCACCACGCACCGTGCCGGATCGCCGCGGCCGCGGCGCCGGACCACGGCGGCGAGGCCGAGGTCGCCGATCTTGACCTGGCCCTGGCTGCCGTTGACGAAGATGTTGTCGCACTTGAGGTCGCGGTGGATGATGCCGCGCGCGTGGAGGTAGGCGAGGCCCTCGAGGATCTGGCGGCACCAGCGCCTGACCGCGGCGGCGCTGGCCCGCGGGTGCCGCCGCCGGTACTGCCGCAGCGTGCCGGAGGTGAAGAGCTCCGTGACGAAGTTGACGGCGGGGCGGCGGGGGCGGGGCGCGGCCGCGGCCGCGGTCGCGTCGGCGGCGGCGTCGACCCAGGAGGCGTGGAGGCGCATGACGGCGCGGTGGCGGAGCGACTTGAGCAGGTGGATCTCGCCGTACAGCCGCTCCAGCTCCCCCGGCCCGCGCAGGAAGTCGTGCAGCTGTACCTGGTTCCACGCCACCTCCATGCCCCGGTGCTCGTCGAAGGCACGGTACCTGGTCGGTCGCCATGGCATGGACGCACGCACGCACGCAGAAACAGCAATCAGTCCCACGAAGCTAGCAGTGATCGACGACGACGACGACGCTTGTTACGGCTAGGATGATGGCGATGATCGATCTTACACTGTCTTTGAGGATCCCTTGCCGAGAATCTCGTTGTACTGCAGTCGGTGGTCGGAACAGAGGAGGGGAAGAAGATTTGTTAGTACCACGATTGGGCCACGAGGTCCACGACAGCATGGCGAAAGAAGAAGATGGCCAAGGAAGAAGAAGAAGAAGAAGAAGAAGAGGAGCAGCGAGCGATATGATCGACCTTACCCTGCCATACCTCCCGGTAGGATCAACCTCGACGTAGCCCGGGTCCGGGAAGAGCTCCTCAGCAGCGCCGTCGCCATTGCTCCTCTGCACCTGCAGAGCTCCCATCATCCTCTTCCTTCCTCTGCTAGCTAGCTAGCTACACTGCACGGCGGCACTGCAGCTCAAGCAAGTGACCATGCTCTCACCTCCCCCGATATCCCGTGCATTGAATTCAGTTCATCCCCCAACGCCATGCAAACAACCAGCGATGCATGCATGCACCTCATCAACAAAGCCCCCGCTCCTGGCTTAGGCTAGTATATTTCTTCTTGTTGTTGTGCCGTACAGGTACCGGCGGGACCGAAGGCGCGCGGAGGAAGAAGACGACGTGGCATAGACGAGACGAGACGAGACGAGACGAGGAGGACTGGAGGAGGCAGAGGCACACTCCCCTGTCGTCTCTGCCACTAGGCTTTTAAATAAAATGTATGTATGTATGTATCCCGGGACCCGGGTAGGGTAGTGACGAGGAGGAGCAGTGATCCGCGATGGTGGCCGCGAGATGGCGACGAGGAGACCCAAGACGAAGCTTTGGCTGCCACCGCCGGTAAGGTGGTCGGCTCACGGCGTGGAATCCCGGAGCCGAGCCGGGCCGGGACCTCGTGTGTGTGTGTGTGTGTGTGAGTATTCAGAGCCTATTCCAGTAAGAAACAAAAAAGCACTGGCTGTTCTTTTTTTTCCTAGTCGAGTAGTATGGTTCAGCAACCAAGGTAACGCAAAATTTCAGACATGCGTTGGCTTCCTGATCTTGTGTCTGGTACTGCCCGACACATCTTAATCGCGGTGACGTAAGGAGTTGCGAAATGGACCTGGCCTAGGGCTTGGGATGGCACGCTAGCTGAGTCTGAGGTGCTTCCTTTTCCTGCTTCGTACAAGGGATGAGACAAAGAGAAACAAAGCCCACGATGCACCAAAGATTTCCTTGCTCCATATATTTACCCTTTTGCAAGCTTTAGAAAATTACCCATGCAATCTGCATAGTAATCAAAGCTCTAATCTTTGTTCGGTACTCCCTCCTCTCACTTTTAGAGTTTTAGGCTACTTTTGGTTATATAAATATTAAATTAGTGAGTATTGATCAAGTGTTAGTAAAATTATATGCACATTTGGTGTACAAAGTTGTAGCAACTGATACTATATTGTAATAGGAATTAAAGTCCAAAATTTATTCTTGAAGTCTTTTTTCATATGAAAACAAGCCTAGCTAACATAAGTGCACACTAAAATGTTTTTTTGTTAAGATCTACTCTCATCCTAAATATAAATCTACTAGGATAACAATATGGTTTTCCAATATAAAATTTTAAAGAAGTACATATATAAAGATTGTTCCAAATCAAACTAGTTATATATTATGAAAGGTTCTTTTTTAAATGGATGCAGTAAAATTGTTAGTCTTTCGTTGTGTCTTGGGAATCTGATCAATAATAATAATAAATAATAATAATAATAAACAGTTAGATCCAGCTTGCTAATACTTACTTCATCCTAAAATATAAGGGATCTCAATTTGTCCTACATCAAACAATGCTAAGTTTAACCAAGTATATATAGGGAAAAAGAATAGTATTTATGACATCAAATTAGCATCATTAGACTACTACAATGGGAGTAACAGTGCCTCTGTTATATAGAGGTGGATGTTTGTCTAGGGGCCTGGTCATTCATATAGGCGGCACATAAAAGTACCTGTCTCCGTTAATCAGGAGGTCTATCTCCTAAAATCAAACACCCTGTTCCGCTGGTGAAAAAGCCGGCTGATTTCGGCTGATTCAATAGTGTTAGCTGAAACAAGCTAAGACTAATCTTTTGTTAGTAGTGCTAGGTACATTATGAAATATATTTTCATAATCTACACCTTTGATGTGATGATGTTAATACTTTTGTTTATAAATCCAATGAAACTTAGCATAGTTTATAAGTTAAGACAAACTCGGATCCTTCATATTTCAAGATAGAGGAGTAACAACCAAGAATAAGAAAGAGTCAATCAAAACAGACATATGCTAAAGGGTATGCTAAGTTCTAGCAAAAATTAGCAATGTAGAGATTGCTTTGCTAAAACTTAGCATGCTAATTTTAATGGACCCAAACAAGGCTCTACTACTTGCCATATTCCCTACTATTTGATGTTACCCGTAACAACAGGGCGTCAGTTGAACGTCAACAATGATGGCATCAGTGAAGTTGATTGCTTGCAGTATGCGAGGATGTAAAAGAGTTGGTGCACGCGTATGGACCACTGTAAATGTGGATTTGCAAACCGTCTCCTTAAAACAACCTACTCTATAGGCTGGTCTATGGACCAACAATGTACTTGCATCCTTATTAAGTACTTGATCGAGTAGGCAAAGGATAAATAGGCAGCCTAGTTAGTGCTGGATATCAAACCAGCTTGACTCGTACGAGATTGAAATTAAAAACAAAGTTTGTTAATCTTCAATCCAAGCAAATGGCAGCATAAATCCATGTCTAGGCTCACCGTTGCCAGCGCAAGGAGCGTCGCCCGTGTGCTGGCGCCAGAGATCGTCCTGTTTTTTTTTTTTTAAGAGAGATAGATCGTCCAGGTGGGAGACAAACAAACGGAGTCACCGAGTCGGGGACTCAGGCCGACTGAAATTGGACTGTGGCGCTAGGCCTGCTGATTGCCCTGGCTCGTTCGGCCCGCCAGCTAGTTATCTCTTAACAGCTAAATAAAACTTCTAACTTGGCTTGTTCAGAAAATACAACGAGCCGAGCTGAGCTAGCCAGCGGATTCCTGATACAGCGGAATCTGTTATGCTAACAAAGTAACAAGCATGCTTATATCTACTGTGTAAGAGCACGATCTAAAATTACGCATTGTAATTATCTGTCAGACCCCACCTATTTTCTCGTCATGTTCGCCTGCACGGTTGCAGCTACAGCCTGAGTGAATGCCTTCTTCTGCAGAGGCTGGAAGGTTGCTCCTCACATAGTCACATCACTTCTTTGCCTGCCTTCTCGCTGCTCCAAGCAAGAGGACCTTGCCCACCAGTCCGGTGTTGAGCACACAGAGCGCAGCCACCGCACCACCAACCACCACCCACTTCCAGTCGAAACCATGCTGAACTGCTTGGGACCTGTCATCCTCGTCACTGGTTTCATCTGTGACAGAGAGGTCATGATCCAGCGGACCATTTGAATCCGTGATGGATATCTTGGTGGTCACTCGAGCCATGATGGTGCTGTGTGACAGGGTGTTTTCTGTGCCTCTCATTTGCTGATAGGCTCTGAATCCAGACTGAAGTTTCTTCACAGCACCCCACATGCCGTGACGGACAGCAACCCTCGCAACATCTTTTGGTATGCCCATGTCCTCATAGTGAACCAAAGTTACTTCACACGCAGATTGCTGACCCACATGTTTAGGCGACTGAACTGCATTTCACAAACAAACAATATGATTATAGCGTCAAAGGTCTAAGCATTTGTGTCCATGCCTGACTGCAAACCTTTCATGTTTAGAAAAAAACACAGCTCAAGACACCACAATGATACTAAGAAAAAGAGTTACCAGCTCTAATACGCCAACTTGAGAAGTACAGCTCCACACGCCTCGGTTTTTCTTTCTTGGGCAATGATGGATATGGAACACCCTGCCAAATGGAGGTTGCTGAGCGCTCAGATATATGCACAACTTACGTAGGATGTAGGCAAACACTTTCTACAGACAGCAATATTAATGTATTGAAATCCCTGTGAATCTTATCCATATTTCGCAAACATGCCAGACAAGGCAGCATGTTGCTCTAAACCTGAGTTTGATTTCTCAGCAAGATGTGTGTGAGAGTTTAACAATAGTAGCTAGAAAAAATGTTTGCAGTATGTTGGCTCAATCTTTACTCTCATCAGTTAAATCCATCTTCAAATACTAAGATGTGCTCCAATCAGCTAATATCAATAGTAAATGACCCAGTGTAATGTTCTCTTCATGTGATACAAGTCCATAGAAACATAGCTATTAATCTAGGAGTATGTTCATCTCCTCCTAGACCTAGAAACCTCATAACCTGATATCCCATAAAACTTAAAGATGCTGATGAGTATGTTCATCTCCTCCTAGACCTAGAAACCTCATAACCTGATATCCCATGAAACTTAAAAGATGCTGATGAAATTATGCAAGCAGTTCAATTTTCAAAGACGCCGATAGGTAACTTCAACACATCATGCAGGCAGATAATAAAACGGTTTACTATCTGAGTAGTCGATACTTTTATGTTGCTGTTTTGTGGATGGCAAAAATAACCTTGAAAATTATCACTCTTTTGGAAAACAAACATTTATATTAGTCCAGGTCAATTACAACCCCGCTTCTGAAAAATTTCTGCAGACTAAGTTCAAACAGCAGAGAAGTGCAAAACAAGAATGCTATATTAAATAAAAAGTAAGCAACAGCTTGGAGAAAAAAAGGGGTAGAAAAGGAACATAAATTTCAGTAGGTACAAGGCCAAAAGTAAAGCGTAACCATTGAGCAGGAAAATGGAAAGGGGACAAAATGTTTCATCTTCGTCAGGTATAAAATTATATGAATCTTTTTTTTGCAGATAATGGAGGAGCATAACATTATAAGAGTAAAAGTATCTGTCAATAAAATACTCTGTACACATACCTTTGTAACACAATAGTAAGTCTTCCCGGATTCCCATGCGCGTCCTCCAAAGATGTATTCACGGTCACTGCAAAAGAATGGGAACTGGAAAACAAATAACATGTTGGAATGGAGAGTTTAACTTGAAGATACACACGGAACAACAGAAGCTGGACGGACACCTTTTTATCCAGTGGACAATTGTTGCTCCATTCTGAGGAACTCATCCAAAGTTATGGAGTATGCAAGCATGGGATCCCACTTGAGACGAAAATCACCATCCCAGAAGAAATCTCTAACCAGTTCAGGAGTAGCATCCTCAAAAAATAGTGCGGCTACAGTACATTATAGGTCCTCCTAATAAATACATTTAAGATAAACTCAGGACACGTATACAAAGATATTATGGTAAAACATTTAGTTGTGATACAGATTTTACTGCAATTTTCTACTTGTTCATGCCAATTTATGTAGATTAATTAACAAAAAAAGGTAATCAAACAATAGAGTCTCAGGATTCCTGTTTCAGTTGAAAAGGATAATATTACCGCCTCTCATTTCTATTTCTTAGTCTGTTTAATTTCAGATTATGTAGATTCAGTAAAGAAAATGCTAGAATCTAACAAAGAGTACAGTAAACACTTCAACGGACACATCGTCGTGTAATCCACTGGCCAACTAAATGATAGTATACCACCATGAGGGAACTGACAAGAATGGACTTTCAAAAATCAAAATTCTAGTCCTTTGCCATTTTAATTTAACACCCAGAATTGCATTCAGACATTAATATGTTATACACCACATCTCAATTGTGGTAGCAGTACCATTTATAATATCCTATATTATTAGCATTTAATTCTCTTTTCACAATCCACTGGAAAGACTAACCTCAGGCTCACGCCGCCAGGCCTTGTAGGTCATGTTGGAGGTTGTACGCTCCATCAAATTCTGCCAAGCCGTATCCCAGCTTTCCTTGTTATCTAAAAGTTGCAGCAGATGTTCTAGGTCCTTCTCAGTGACAGTATCATGCTCGTCCTCAAAATTGTCCTGCCGGTCAGAAATATTGAACTAAGTTTCACTGCAGAAAGAATATAGGAAAATTGTGGTGCATTCTTGTGTCTAAAAGATTAATAGGCCCTGTTTCGCTTTATTTGAAAAGCCATGGCTGATAAGTATTTATTCACTGATTTGTTGTGAGATAAAAACGTTGTTCCTTCGCTGAAACAAGTATAAGACAAACGAACAGGGCCTAAGTCGTGCATCTACCGCCACAAGTTCCTAACGTCACTCTATGTCACCAATTCAAAACACAAACGCGCAAACCCTATGGACATGTGTCAGTTCATCAAGTCAGCTGAAATAGAGTAATTTTCATGAGTCGGGGAAAAAAATCAAATCTCCTAAACCGCCTTCAGCACAAGGACAGGGTCGCCCCTGAATGAATCTCAAGATCACCAATTCAATTCCGAACTGAAAGATACCTAGTCTTCAAGAGAGACACTTTGGCAAGACTGACAGGCGCTGCATTTCTGCCACCTACCCCGGCCAACCCCGCCAGCCACAACAGAAAATAGATTGAACCCCTAGACGCAGACGCTGACCTGCCGTCGGCGCAACCTCCGCCGTCCGGGGCCGCGGAGGCACGATCCTCGTGGGAGGCCTTGTCCTGGTGCTTGCCTCTGCGGCGGCGGGCGCGGAATGCGGAGGAGAGGAGCCTGGGCGCGACGGAGCAGGCGGAGAGCGCGGTGAAGGCGAGCCAGAGCCTCCGGGCCCCGAGGCCCGGCGGCACCCAGAGCCAGAGGATGCGGAGGCGGCTGCGGAGGCCGAGGAAGAGCAGCCCCGTCCAGCGCGGGCGCCAGGACCAGCCGACGATGAGGCCGATCATGACGGCGGCCCAGATCGGCACCGCGCAGAGCAGCACGTCGACGGCCATCTCCGCCAACGCGGGGCGCCGCCGCAGCAGCGCCACCGCCTCCTCGCACCACCCCGCCATTGCTGCTGCGAGGGCTGGAACCTGGAAGCTTCCGCGCCCCCTGATCCTTTCTCCAATCTCCAGAGGAGGGCAGGAGGCAGACGAGCTGGGAGGGGGGAGTTGATTGGAGGAGGTTCTCTCCTGCCTGCGCCCGCGTGTGACGTGTCAAAAGCGGCGGAAGAGGACAGTTGGCGGGCGGACCCACGTGTCGGTGGCACCGCGCGTCCAGCCATGTTTTTCTTTATCCTTCCTTGTCCTGAATCTGTGCCTTCAAAAATTCAGCTGATGGAAACTTCTCATCGAAATGCTTTATGATACTTCTTCATCCTTCATGTGACCAACCATTTTGGCCCTTAAAACTTTCATGATTGTATTCTTGAAGTACGTCAAGAAGTCCTTTCTCATAATTAAAGCTCCACGATGCTCTTGAGCTTTGTCCTTTAGTCATAGGTAGAGTTTACAAAAAAATAACATTCAAACACAACTGTAATAGTTTGGCGACATATAACATAACTCACATAGATAAGAAGTCATAAACATAAATGTCTTATACAATAGCACATTGGCATGTTCAACATTTATTACATAACACACTATAAAATAATCTTCATGCTCTACGACTTGACTGCTACTTCCTAAGCACGATTTTGATTGTAGCGTTACCACATTTGCATGGCAATCTGATCTCTTAGCACGTTTGCAGCATGGTCTTCTAAATTCAGCGACTACACATCATTTTGATGATTATCATCTCCATGTGGCAGATCAACATGATCAGATTCTTGTATATAAGTAGGTTGGTGATCTAGCCAATTCTCGTCACCATTTAGACATCTAATTATGTTATAAAATATAGTGGCTGCTGTTGGAATTTTTATTTGAGATTCTATGGGATGATGTGTTCCCACTTTCAGAATTTGAAACATTTTTTTAAGAATCCCAATAGCCATCTCAATATGGT